TCTCCCTCCCCCCCCCCCCCCCCCCCCCCTCTCTCTCTCTCTCTCTCACACACTGGTTTCTTACTTCTCTGAGCGAGGAGTTTTTTTAGATGGTTCACGGAGCGTGGGTCTGACGTATTGCTCCGTTTTCTTGGTGCGAGTGGAGTGTGCTGGCCTGCCTGTGTGAATTTATCTGAAATTGGAAATTTGCTTGCTGATTTGTTGCACACGTGCTGATCCATGATTTTCAACGGGAACACCGACTGCGCATGCCTGTTTCGACGCATGAAGCATACCACTACATGTCCATCTTCTGTTGTCGTCGACTATCATCGTTTGTTAAATTTAAATTTTTCCCTAAGACTAGAGGTATGCTAAATAAATGCCTCAACTAGGTGCTAATAGCATTTGTGCTAAGTGCTATAAAAAAGTGGTCGATAAAGTCGAATGTGAGGTCTGTGGTTCGGCATATCATCCATCGTGTGCCCGGGCGTATATTAAGTGCAAATCGGATAGTGTCTGTTGTGTACAATCACTAGTACATTTGTTGACGTCGCAGCCATCCCCACTTCACGTCGTTGAATCGAGCGCCTCTTCGCAATATCACGGACCTGGTTCGTATGAAGCCGCGAGTTCTTCACCCCACTTCGTACCTACGTCTTCCCATCATACTGTCGACATCCCTGCTACGTCTAATTTACTACCTGTTCGTTCTTCCTCTGACACATTTATTTGCGCGCCTTTGTCAAATCCCACTTTAACTGACGCTCCACTAGCTTTGCATACTCAGTGTAGCTCCCTTCATTCGAACATGACTTTCGATGCGAGTAACTCGACACAATTTCAGCAATTACTCGATGCGATTTCGGGCGTTAGAGCTGAAGTAAATAGCATGCGGAATGAATTGAGCGCTGTGAAGAATGACGTAACCGTGATCAGGCAGGAAATGTCTTCGTTAAAAACAATTGTCCAGCAAAATACTACTGTATGTAATGCCCTAACTGCGGAAATGTCCTATATTAAATATGCTCTTGCTCTTGCGCGACCGACAGCGGACATTATAATTACTGGCATACCGAACAAATGCACTATTTCTTACAAAGATATTTTGTTGCGTTTGTTAACACACCTTAAGCTTCCTGGACTTCTTTCTGATATATTATCTATAACTAAAATTGATTATAAACGTACTGGTGCATCTACGGCTCAAGGTGTATCTCGCCAAGACGAATATTTCTCTCTCAAGGCGAAATTCAAATCGGTTGAGGTGCGAAACTTTATTGTAGATGCTAAACGGAAGATAGGGAAAATAGATACCTCCGATCTATTTTATGATATTCTTGATAATGTTGTGATCAATCGGACCATATTTGTAAATGAATTTCTCCCTACACCGACGTATGCTCTCCTTAAAAAGGTCAGAGAGGCTGCGAAACAAGCAGGCTATAAACGTGTATGGGTTCGGGATGGCAATATTTTTGTTAGAAAGGATGGTGGTATTGGTGAGATACTGATTTCCACGGAACAAGATCTAAATAAAATTATCTGACTGTCTGATAGCATGGTTTCTGTGCCGGCTGTGACCTCACTTGATAGAAACTCGCTGTCGTGCATTAATGTTTCGTGTTTAAATGTGAATTCGCTGCGTGCACATGTGTGTGAAGTTGAAATGGAATTGTCAAATAGTTCGACTAGTATTCTAGCATTAACTGAAACTTGGCTTACTCCTAACATGGATTCGTCATGTGTCGCGATTGAAAATTACAATTTCATACGTCATGATCGTGCACTTCGAACTAGCGATCAGTCGCGATATGTCCAAGGTGGAGGCGTAGCATGCTACCTCCATAAAAAACTTGCGTACACAATTTTGGAACGATCGCCGAACACTAATATAAATGATCCAGAGTATCTATTTTTAGAAATTAGGCCTGCGTCGCAAAAACTTTTGTTTATTATTATGTATCGTCGTCCCGAAGGCTATTTATTTGGAGAATTTATTACAAAATTAAATGTATATATGCCTTCATTTACAAACATAATTATTACCGGTGATTTGAACTGCAATCTCTTATCGAATTCCTTCGAATCTAAATTTCTTAAAAATCTTATAGGTGACTTTGCATTGTATTCAGTACCTTTTGGCTCCACGCATTATGCTGGCCTGTTTTCATCACATATTGATGTTATAATTGTTGATTCTGAGAATAGGATTAAACATTTTTCGAAGTCGAATTCACCAGTAGCTGGTGGTCATTGTCTTATTTCTATAGGGTATGAACTCCAAAATCTTAATATAAATCCCCAGCTAGTTACTCACCGTAATTTCACTAATTGCAATTTAAATGCCTTAAAAAATGACCTGAGTGCTTTACTTCGCCTAAACCTTCCTGAAGTGGTGGTAGCTAACAGTGATGGTATTGCATTTAATACTGACCCGAACCTCCTTATAGAAAATGTCTCCTCTTTCTATTCTAGTATTAGTGGCGCCTTAGATCAGCATGCACCTTTTGTGTCTAGGCGTATTGTACATCGTTCAATTCCTTGGATTTCTCCTGATTTGCGAGTAAAAATAAAAGAGAGGGATAAAATCTTTACGCGTGCGAAGCGTACACGTGACTTAGGACTCCTTGACCAATATAGAATAATGCGTCGTGATGTTAAGAATGCCATAAAAACTGCCAAAAATGAATACCTCTCTAAAATCTTGCTTCAACAGACAGATTCTACCCAACTATGGTCATCCTTACGAAGAATGGGTCTCTCTGGAAACGCCCCGCAGTCTGCTCTCCATCATTTTTCGCCTTCTATCCTAAATCGTCATTACGCCCTCATTTCATCTTTTCATCCATCGTGTGACATTTCGACCTTCTCAAACATTCTTCAACGGCCTCTTCCAACTCAGC